TGTTGGGATTCGCAGGATACTGAGTAAGTCTGCAGGCTTCAACAGGATGATGCAATACTCTGTGAAGTGCTGGGTCAGAGTGACTCAGCAGGAGTGTGATTAATGTGATTGGCTATCACCTGTTTTAAAAAGGAAAGCCTGTTCAACAGTAACCGTGGTTGTGGTGGTTGTGCTGTGGTATGGTGGTGCTGTGGTGGAGAGTATTCGTTTGCCTTAAGGAGCAGGTACTCTGTATGGACTGTTTTTGTAAATACCTGTATATAGCTCACATTAAAAAGACTGCACTGGAAAACCCTGGGACTCTGAGCGTTTCTGCTAAAAGCGCCGCGAGGAATCGCGACAGGGTTATGGGCCCAGCACGCTTCCGCTGCGCAAGAGTACAGGTGGCAGTTATCTAGCCGTGGGTGCTGGAGGTGAGCTGCAGGGATGGAGCAGTCCAGAACTGGCGTGTTGCTGGAGAAGCTGACGGCCACGAACTACAGCATCTGGTCGGTCCGCATGCAACACTTCCTCAAGCGTGAGGGCCTGTGGAAGGTGGTGGAAACTCCACCGCAGCCCCTGAGGAGGATGAGGACGACGATGAAAAGCTGGCACTAGCAGAGGCCCAGCTAGAAAAGGATGAGAAAGCTTTGGCTACGATCATCCTTGGAGTGGACGACAGCCAGCTGGTCTACGTAGCTGATAAGGTGACGGCAAGTGAGGCGTGGAATGCGCTCAAGGCTGTCCATGTGCGAGAGACAGCTGGCTCACTGATAACACTGACCAGGAGACTGTACCGGTGTCGGAAGAAACCGGGGACTCCCTGGTAAACCACCTAAAATTCCTAACAGGCTGTTTCCAGGAGCTAGCCTTAAGAGGGAGGCCTGTGGGGGAAGAGGACAAAGTCTTTATAGTCCTGAGTTCCCTTGATGACAGCTATGATATGCTAGTCAATTCCCTCGAGTCTGTAGAGACTGATAAGCTGACTCTGGAATACGTTACTGGACGGTTGTATGCAGAGGAGGACAGGCGTGCAGAGCGAAAGATGACCTCAGCCCAGCTGTTGGAGCATCCCAGAGGGAACAACAGCCGGGAAGAGCAGAGGTGTCGGGAGCCGGAGAAACAGCCAGGAGGAGCTGCTGCAGACCAGCCGGTGGTCAACAAAGTAAAAAGGTGTTTTTGCTGCAAATCCAGTGGACATCTGCTGCGGGACTGCCCGAGAAAACAACAAAAACAGCAGAAGCACAGGAGGCAGCAGAGAGAGTCTACCGCTTGGGTGTCTGCAGATGGTCAAGAAAATGAAGAGCTGTGGGTTCTGGACAGTGGAGCTTCTCAAACCTTTTGTAAAAGAAAAGGATTGCTAATTGATGCTAGGGCTTCAAACAAAAAACATGTAAGTCTTGCTACGGGCCAGAAAGCTAATGTGGTTTGTGAGGGGGAGGTTGTGTTCCCACAGCTGGGACACACATTCAGGAATGTGTTGTGTGTGCCTAGTTTGCAAAACAATCTCCTGAGTATTCCTGACTTGGCAAAAGCAGGCTTTGAAGTAAACTTTGTGGGAGATCAGTGCCAGATAAAGCAAAATGGGGCAGTGTTGGCAAATGCTAACCTTAGAACTAATATGTATGTACTGCAGTGTGAGTCTAAGGTTGCGAATGTGCAAAATGTCCCAACCCATGATATGTGTATTCATCTCCTGCACAGGCGTCTGGCTCATGCTAGCTTTAAGGTGCTGAACAAAACATTGGAGTTGTGTGGGGGGATGAAAAACATAAAAAGTTGTGATAATTACTTAGACTGCAATATCTGCAAGGAGGTTAAAAGCAGGGCTTGCCCAGTAGCAAGAGCAAGCCAGAGAGAAACCAAAAAACCACTGGAGTTGATTCATGCTGATGTAACTGGTCCTTTTCCACCAAGTGTCTCCCATAACAAGTACTGTTTGATCCTAGTGGATGACTATTCTAGATTTGGCTGGGTCTATCCATTAAAGCAAAAGTCTGACGTTGCCCAAACTTTGAAGTTCTGGGTAAGAAGGGTAGAAAGGCAACTTGGCGAAAAGGTGTGCTCTATTCAGACAGATAGGGGAGGAGAGTTTATGGCAAGCTCCCTAAGAAACTGGTTGCGTTCCCAAGGGATTAAACATAGGCTTACCAATGTGGCGACGCCTCAGGAGAATGGAGTAGCAGAGCGTAGGGGAGGTGTCTTGCAGACACAAATGAAAGCATTGTTAGCAGATGCAAATCTTCCAATTAAGTACTGGGCTGAGAGTATTAAGACCGCAAATTATATTGGGAATCGCTTGTGGTCAAGGGTACTAGATGACATACCCTATAAAATTCTCTATAACAAAAGTCCCAGTTTGCAACATTTGAGAATCTTTGGGACAAAGGCGTGGGTTGACATACCTGTAAAGAACCGAAGAAAAGGTGGGAAAAGGCACAGCAGTTGCTATTTCTTGGGTATGAAAGTGGTACGAAAGCCTACAGGTTTGAAGATGATAAAAATCTTTTGAGTTATAGTCGATCAGCCAGCTTTAATGAGCAAAGAAATTGGCCCAAGATACATGCAAACCTGCTGCCAGAAAAAGTTTTACTGCCGAGCGTACCTGATAAGGCAGTTGAAACAAAGCTGAAAATTGGCAGCTCTCCCAGAGAAACTGAAAGGGAGGAGGTAAAGGTTGAGCATTTTTCTCCAGCTGCTAGCATGGAGCAGGGGAGAGAAGAAAGTGCAACAGGGACAGGAGGAGGTAGATCTACAGAGTCAATCCACCCCAAAAGCAGTCCTGAAGGTAGCCCAGGGGTGAGATTAATGAACCAAGGAGGTCTACAAGAAGTAATAAAGGTCAACCTCCAGACCGTTATGGGTTCCCAGTCACCATAAACCAGGTTTGTGTAACTGAGCCAGAAAACTTTGAAGAAGTGCAAGAGTTACCTACTCTAGAGAAAGAGGCGTGGTTAAAGGCAATGCAGGCAGAGTATAACTCTCTGCTAAACAACAATGTGTTTGTACCTACAGAATTGCCTGAAGGTAAAAAGCCCATAAGCTGTAAGTGGGTTTTTAAAGTGAAAAAGCTGGCTGATGGTAGTTGTCAGAGGAAAGCCAGGTTGGTGGCAAGGGGCTTTACACAAAGAAAAATGATACATTATGATGAAGTGTTTGCCCCAACAGCAAAGGCTGAAACAGTAAAATCAGTTTTAGCAATGGCAAGTCTGAGAGGGTTAAAAGTTAATCATTTTGATGTTGCCTCAGCATATTTAAATGCTCCTATTGACGCCGAGGTGTATTTACAGCAAATACCAGGTTATGAGCTGGAAAAAGACAGCATGGTGTTAAAACTGCAAAGGGCACTATACGGGTTGCACCAAAGTGCACGTCTATGGCATGAATGCATAGACACAACTTTGAAAAGATGGGATTCAAACAAAGCCTGGCTGATTCCTGTTTATATTCAGCAATGGTGCAAGGAAGTGTTTGTTATTTACTTTTGTATGTTGATGATATCTGTCTAATAACAACTGCACAAAAGCAAGTGTCTTGGTTTATAAACAGCCTAGGTAACAAATACAAACTGAAGTATTTGGGAGAGATTCAGAATTACTTAGGAGTAGAGGTTCAGAGAAATGAAGAGGGCGTCTACTCTCTGAGTCAGAAGGAAAAAATTGAAAAGTTACTGAAGATATATGGAATGGAGAGGGCAAATGAGGTTGACACTCCCATAACTACCCAGTACAAAAATGAACCAGAAGGGCAAAAATGTGAGAATGCAACAGCATTTCATTCTCTGTTGGGTTCTCTGTTATATTTAAGTTGTTGGACAAGACCCGACATAACATTGGCAGTGCACATGTTAAGCCAAAGAAGTGCAGACCCTGCTCAGAGAGATTGGGTAGCACTTAAAAGAATCCTAAGGTATCTGAAAGGCACAAAAGATTACAAACTGATGCTGGATACAGGATATGATCAGCAAGTGTATGCATACGCTGATGCCAGCTGGGGGGACAGAGAAAATGGAAAGTCTACCACTGGCTATGCCATATATATTGGAAATGCCCTGGTTCAGTGGAAATCCCAGAAACAAACATTTGTTGCCACAAGTACTTGTGAAGCAGAGTACTCAGCCATAAGCGAATGTGTGTCACAAATAGAGTGGTTTGCTTGCCTAACAAAAGAGCTTGGAATACCTTCTGAAATGCCAATCACTGTGCTAAGTGACAACATGGCTGCACAACAGCTTGCTAACCAACAGAACTTTAAGAGCAAGAGTAAACATATTGCGATAAGATACGGAAATGTGAAAAATGCTTTGGAAAGAAATGTGTTAAAGGTACAGCACTGTAACACAAAATGTAATGTGGCGGATTTGTATACAAAATGTTTGGATGCTCCTAAATTTCGAGACTTAAGAGAATTATTAGGTCTCAAGCCTTTGACTTAAGGAGGAGTGTTGGGATTCGCAGGATACTGAGTAAGTCTGCAGGCTTCAACAGGATGATGCAATACTCTGTGAAGTGCTGGGTCAGAGTGACTCAGCAGGAGTGTGATTAATGTGATTGGCTATCACCTGTTTTAAAAAGGAAAGCCTGTTCAACAGTAACCGTGGTTGTGGTGGTTGTGCTGTGGTATGGTGGTGCTGTGGTGGAGAGTATTCGTTTGCCTTAAGGAGCAGGTACTCTGTATGGACTGTTTTTGTAATTACCTGTATATAGCTCACATTAAAAAGACTGCACTGGAAAACCCTGGGACTCTGAGCGTTTCTGCTATAAGCGCCGCGAGGAATCGCGACAGTCTTATAGAACATGGCATGATGAAGCCCGTGGTCTCTTTCGCTATGAGAAACAATTCATTAAAGAGGCATTTCCCCTTGGAAGGAGGTGCAGGGTACAAATGAAATAAATAGTAATAATAACAACAAACATAATCATAGAAGAATAAAAAGATGAAGACAAAGAAAAAAGCATCTGTCCATCATGTATTGTCCAGTGTGGACTGCAAAAACCCTGTAAGATTGCTGTGATTGTTTCATTTTGTTTGTTATAATGTCATTTATTTTGTGTTTTTCTACTGTAAACCACCCTGTGCTCCTCAGACAGAGGGCAGTATATAAATTTAATAATGATGAGGATAATTATAAGCAAAAAGCCAGTTCTACAGATGTACGGTGGGTCACACCTCAGGTAAAGCCTTCTAAAACAGAAATGTCTTTAGCTGGGGCCTAGCCGTCATTATTCAGAGCACCTATAATTTTGCCTACTAATGGCCGCTTACCATCCTCCTGTTGAGTGGCAGTTGAGGCCAATCGTGGCACCTCCACTCTCACCTGCACACACCATGCCATTTTGCTGTTTTTCCCATCACCCTCAACCACCGCAGAGGCTCACAAGTTCCCGCCAAACCCATCCATTCAAATGGGCCAATTCGTGGCAGCCCAGGGGGGTGGGGCATGGTGAGTGGACCTGAGGGAGGGAGGCTTCCCTTGGGTCCGCTCACCATCTAGTTAGCCCAGCCAACCACTTAGCGCTGCATCTGGTCAGCTGGGATCCAATTGGGGTGCAGTAAAGTGGTGACTCACCCACCCCTTGTTGTCTGTGGCGGTGATAACAGGGTACCCTGTTAGAGGGGTCAGGATGACCCAGTCAACAACCTGGATATTATACTGCGTTCTGTCCCAGTTACAGCTTCCATGTTAAGCCCAAGGGAAGCCTACATTTGAACCCCATTACTACCGTATTTACTTGAATCTAATGCTCATCTATTTTGGCCAAATTACATTGCAAAAATTAAGGTGCACATTACATTCGATGGCACATTTACATTCACCAGCAAATGCTTTTTTTGGTTTCAAGGTTCTGAAAATTGAGGTGCGCATTAGATTTGATGGCACATTAGACTCGAGTAAATACGGTATCTTCCACATCAGGTAATTTCCTTAATTCAAATTATGATAGGGTTGCTATATTCCCCAAAGTGAAACTCTGGACAAAGTTGTTTTGAATTTTAGATTATACACACACACACACACACACACACTTGCCATACACCTGGAAACTTCACTGATTTGCTGAAAATCTGCCTGGACACCGATTTCCTGCCCAATTCCCAAACGTTTCCAGGAGAACCTGGACACATGGCAGCCCTAAATTATGATTAAGTCATGACTTAACATTTAGGACTTCAAGAACCCACAAACTGATAGTTGAAATATATTTAATTGTGATTATTGCTAAATACTGAAATATCAGAAAGTATGAAGCCATATAACAATACCGTCAACCCTTTTGCAAGCTTTTGCTGCCAGGTTTCTACATATAATGAGGAGGTAATTTCAATTAAGCATTCATATACTGGTGCTATTTACTCATCATAGAGCAAGATTACCTTTTCTCTGCTCCTGAGGTTGCATTGTAATTATAGTGTCATTTGTTATATTTTCTCAGGTTTATGAAAGGGAGACATCACATTTCGTTGGCAAGTAGCAACAGGAACATTTTTATTGAATAGTTGGTCACCACCATGTGGCTTGAGAGCCTACTTGTGTGTGGATTTGAGAAATGCAAGTTTACATTCCTGCTCAGTTGTGAAGTCCACTGGCTAATCCTAAGAAAGTTATTGTTTTGAATGCACTATTCTTATGGCACCATCACTGGGTGAGACCCACAGATGGCCATCATTGACCATAAACATCTGTGTGCCAGATCTCTTGCTCAGCTTTCCCAAACTAGAACTCATCGCATCAGCTCCAGCCAGCATGGCCAATGGTCAGGGCTCATTGGGCTTATATTCAAACAACATATTGAAGAAACCATGATGGGGACAGCTGTTTACCTTCCTGGGAGGAAAACTCAGCACAAATGATATTCCATCATATCCTCTATCCACCAGTCCAATTGCAATTCTAGCATCCATGGGACTATGCTAAGACAGCAATAATTGTGCCACACAGTTGTTCAGTAAAGAAAACCAAGTCAATATTCAGTCTCCTTGACTTTCCCCTCTGTTTGGTGTGATTACTGTTATTCTGACAGGTCTCTATGTGCACAGCCTCAGCTGCTGCAAGTGCACATGGTTGAATTGGGGCCATCATAAAATATCACACCACACACTGACTGATAATTATGTATGACTGAAAAGCTATCCTCTAAACAGGCGTCTTACACAATTGCCTTGAAGTCATAAATAATGGTGGGAGGAGGAAGAACTGCTGAAATAAAGCTGGAAGTGTATACCCTTCCTTTTGAAAATGAAGGAAAACATCAAAACTGTTGTAAAAGCTCTAATTGCAGGAGTAGAGGCAAACAAGATCTGGAACAATCAGTGCTCTTCACTTCATTTTGTGACTCGAAACACCAATCAAAGGCTTTTACAGTTGAAAGCTTTTATAGACAGACTGCGGTGCACATCAGTTTTAATAAGCATACTTTTATACACTTCATTTTTTTTCATGTTACAAAGCCATAAAGTGTGAGCATAATTATCAATAGCTATTCCTAGCAAAGCACACTATCCAGCAAATGTGTTTTTTTAGAGAGAGAGAGAAGAAAAGAAAAAGAAAAGCAGGAACTATTATTTATGATCATAAAGCTCAATGTTAAAAAGAAAAAAGATGAATGAACTACAGAAGGAAATGGTTCAAAATTACTCCTAGTCCATCCCCCTAAAATAGAAGTGGGAGACCTTTTTCAGCCCAAACACCGCACTTTGGGAGGCTACGTGCCAATGGGGAGGGGGGAGCAGAGACAAAAGTGGGTGGCGTAATTGCATACCTTTCCACATTTCTCCAATGAAAATAGGGACAGCCGATTCCATACCCTCCAACATTTCTCTGATGAAAATAGGGAAAGTGGAACATTTCAGGATCAAATCAGAAAATGTGGGTGAGTGGGTACGTCTGTAAATCCAGGATTGCCCCTTTGAAAATAGGGACAATTGGAGGGTTTGCAAATTGATGTGACTGCTACCTTTGTAGGCTATGTCCATTCTTTCAGTCACTTGCCTTTTTGTTCATTAATAGAAGGGGCCCCTTCACACACACAGTTACATGAGGACATGTTTGCTGTGTGGTGCTCCCATGCTTCTGGGGGAGGGGTGACAATATCACAACAACATGGCTGGGGGCTGCTGACTGTATGAATCTGTACCATTTCTATCAGGACCCAGAGTATGTGATGAAGGCCTCAAAGAGAACAAGCAGTAAACAGCAGAGTCTGCTGTAGCTGTGTAATAAATTGTTGCAGTACTGGAATAACTCTGAGCCGTCCCTGTGTCTCAGAGCATTTTGTCTGAATCCTTAGAGCATCATCTTGAGAGTAGGCAGTACACATTAAGCTGCACTACATAGATAACCAGAACCTCAGTCAATCAATTGCTGTGCTAAAACAAGCCCTATTCAGTTCAGCAGCTGGCAAACTAGAGATAATTAGGTCATTCTAATGGCAGCTAGACTTTCTTAAATATTTTTTTGCCTGTCTTTCTGGGCCAATGAGAGCCTCATGCAGCTGTATGAATGAGTTTTGTCAGTTCAGCCAAATTCCTATTTCTGAAACATTTGGCGAACTTGACAGCTCAGTGGTATTTTGGGATATGTTTATTCATACGTCTAAACACCAGTCTATAAA